AGCGCAGGTGAGGGGTGGCGGGGCGGCGGGGCGGGGTGCCGGGCGGGGCGGGGGGCAGCGCGGCCGTTCCGCGGGGCGGGGCGGGCCCGGAGCGCGGCTGTCACGGCGGCCCGCTCTGCACGTCCTGCCCGCCCGCGGCCCTCCCTCCGTCGCTCGGCCTGCCGTGCTGCGGAGCTTCGTGCCGCTCCCTGAGGCCCCGCAGCGCTCGGTGCCCGGCCCCGAGAGGTGACGGCGCGGGACGGAGCCGGGAGCGGCGCCGCTCCGACGCGGCTCTGTGCCGTGACCCCGCGGGGAGCATCCCGCACTGCTGCACCGCGGAGCGGAGGGGGGTCAGGCAGAGTTCGGGTCGAGGGCCGGGCTGCGTTTGTGCTGAGGGTCAGGCAGGTCGGGGTTGGGATTCGGGGCAGGGTTGGGACTTTTCACGCACAGCACGGTGTTAAAAAAAAAATAAATAACCGCCCTGGCAGGCGGGCTGCTGCCGCGCTGCACTCAGGTTTGATCCCTGCGTTCTTCAAAGCCGCTGCGTGGAACTGCGGCCTCCTGCAAGTGCTGGGATGGCCGTGCTCAGATGTGCTGCAGGGCAGCAACCATCGCAGGGCCTGCAGCCGGCTGCCAGCCCGGCTCCCGGCGGCTAACGCAGGCACCCAGCGCAGGCCCCGGCTTTGATTTTTGCCTCCTTTTCTGTTGACTGTTGTTGTTTATAGCGAGCAGCGGGCGCTGAGTGGCTGCGAGCAGCCATGTGGCAGCTCCTCCTCAGCAGCAGCGGGAAGCCGCTCCCCCACCGCTCCATGGCTGCACTGCTGGCACGGCCGCAGCCTCTCCTGTGTCAGATGCTGCACGCAGACCTTCGTGCTGTTGGGTAAACCGTGTGATGGGATAATTAAAAGAGAGCAAATGAGCACGAGTGGCACCCGCTGCAAGCCGTAGAGCCGTGCTGGAGCCCAGCCAGCCCCTCTGTGCTGCCTTCCTGCGGTACTGTTGGGTAGCGTTGACCTCTGAGTCACCGGCCCAGGAACTCGATGAGTTCTGCAGCGTGGTTGGTGTGTCACTGGGAGATGCTGCTGGGGTGCAAAGCGCCGATGCTGTCCGTCAGCTGGCTGCTGTCAGCAGCCTGGGCTCGTGTCCTTGCCTTACGTTTAGTTTACAAGGATCTATAAAAGCTGATGTCAGTGCTGGGGCACGGCGTGCCCGGAGAGCAGCTGGAGCGGCCGCTCGGCTCCTGGGTGAGCAGCAGCCCTTCTGCTTCGCGTTTCTTCTTGCACACATCCTCCTGCTGTCCAGGTGCAGCACTCAGCCATCCCTGCTGCTGCGTTCCTCGGGGCTGCACCTTGCCCTGCTCATGCTTTGAGCCTGTTCCTTTCTGTCACGCATTCCAGGGCACGTTTTGCGCTTTCCATCTCCACGGCTGAATTTAACCTCTTCAAAGGCTTTTTTCTCATACCCCAAGCTCTGTTGCTGTCCTCATTTTGTACAGGCCTTTTTATATTCTTTTATATTCTGCAATATCTCTGCCCTTCTCTGCATGCTGCTGCTGACCCGTGCTGTGGTCAGGCTGGGCACAGCAGCACTACACTGCATGGGGCTCAGTGACCCCGTTCTCAGTAGGTCTGAGTGCTGCTGTGGGACAAAGGAGTGCAGCTCTGGTGTCTGTGTGCATACTGAGCAGTGGGTTTGTGGCGAGGGAGCTGGCAGCACTGTGAGCCCCAGCGTGCTCCATCTGGAGGAGCTGCTGGCAGCACTCAGTGCAGGGTTCCCAACAGCATTCTGTTTGCACTGGAGCTCTGATCACTTTCCTGCCTTTTACTTGCTGCAGAAGTTGAGCTTGCGATGAGACAAGCAGGTTTGGAGGCGCAAGTTGCACATTTATGTTTAAAAACTTCCCTGATCCGATGGCCGTGAGAAATGGGGCAAGGTGTGCTGGGTGGAGCAGCAGCTCCAGCTCCTCTTGCAGGGTTGGTGGCCTCCTCTGTTTGGCAGAAATATCCAAAAGGAAAACCATCCCCAGCAGCAGGCAGCAGGGCTGTTGGTTCTTCTGTCCTCAGTCCCGAGCTGGGGCTCTCAGCATTGAAATCCCACTGAGCTGAAGGAGAGTTCGAGGGATGCAGCACTGGTGACAGGGGACGTTCAGACTGGATGACCTTGGAGGACTTTTCCAGCCTTGGTGATCCTGTGATCCTGTGCCTTCAGGGAGGGGCTGCAGTTGCTGCTGTGCTCCAGCCCTGCCCCATTGCCGGGGGTTACGGTGATGGCTTTGCGGTTTGGCTCGTGTTCCTGCACTCTGGGTTCTCTCTGCCCGCTGTGCTGCTGGCACAGCTTTGGCAACACTGCTGGCCACGTGTGTTCAGTGCAGCCGTGTGCCTCACCGCCCTGCAGCCGCTCTGTCATTTCACACTGCTGTCAGCTGGGAGCCTGTGAGTGCTGCTGAGCTCTGCTGGCATTAGCAACAATGCGAGTGCCCAGCACGGAGTTTAATGGCTGGCAGCCAGGCTGAGTGAGAGCACCATGTCTCAGTGAGCTGCTTGGCAGGCTCTGAGCACGCCTCCATCGCTGCAGGACGGTCTGCTGGTTGCTTGTGGCCACAAATTCTGTTTGTTTGGTGTCTGCAGTCTCACAGCGCTGCGCACAGGATGGTGGAAGGCCTCGTGGTGCACTGCGTGCTCTGCACTGTTGGTTATGTGAGCAGGAGCTGCTGGGTGCCGAGCTGCCTGCTCGTCCTCTAGGGGTTCCATTGCTGTGGTCTGCCATATCACTCCTTCTCCTCTGGTTAGGAGTGCACAGAAGTTCTGCTGAGCACTTGCTGGATTGCTCTGTTTGCAGCGCAGGGTGCGTCGCCTCTCGAGAGATTTGAGTTCCTTCAGTCGCAGCTGAGCCTGGAGTTCTGCACAGGATAAAAATAGCAGGCGGTAATTAATGCACGTCCTCGGCGAGCCCAGCTCTGCTGCTCTCTCCTGACATGTTGCACTGCTGCAATTTCCTCTCCTCCTCCGAGGGAAGAGATGAATTAATCTCTGCACGGGTAGGAAGGAAAACGAGGAGGTCAGGAGCGGGACGGGAGCAGGGCTGTGCAGCGGGACGGAGCAGGCTCTCCCTGCAGTTCAGGTACATTCATTTCATTAATTACTGCTGCCAAGCTCTCGTGCACTTACCCACCACCTGATACTTTTTTTTCCCGTATCTCCCATCCCGTAAGGAGCTTTGTTTTTAACCAGGAGATGCCCCGGCAGAGAGCGAGGCTGATGAAGCAGGTTCTGTCACACAGCAGTGAGGGCTGTGCTGCTGGCTGCACTCCAGCGATGTCAGCATCCCACAGCACAGGGCTCCCACTCTCCTGGAGCACCCAGGACGTGTTTGGGACGTGGCACTGTGAGCAGGGTGCTTCTCCCAGCCGCCTCTGGCTGCCCATCGGTCAGAGCTGCTCTTTGCTGCTTGCTTTGCTGTCTTTCTGCTTTTTGTTGTTACTCCTTGAAGCTCTTCCCTCCCATTTCTCAGCCTGTTCCTGGAATGCACCATGTGTGTTGGTTTTATTGAAGCTCGGTGGAGCAAGGGCTGCTCCTGGCCGGAGCTGTGGCCCGCCTGCATCTCTCAGTTGTTTTTTGGAGAGAGAAACAAAGCGCTGTGGGATCCTGCCAGGCTGTGTTCTTTTCTCCCTGAAGCTGAGCTCTGCCCAGGCTGTGTCTCAGGGCTGGGAAGCTCACTGCTCACGGTCACATCATCAGCACACCTCTGCATCGTAACGTCTTTCCCAGGAGTGCATTCCTGAACGTTCTGGCGTTTATCAGCCTGCCTCTCACGTGGCAGAAAGATGAAAATTCATCCTAGAGAGACAGAAGAGGAGTTGGGAACGGCACAGAATCCTTCTGGTAGAAGAGAAGTCGTGGTTTGCAGCCATCCCACCCCCCAGGGTTCGCTGGCCCAGATGGAGAGCTGCCTTTGGCTGTGACAGCACTTGCTTGGCAGCTCCTGGTGTGATCCATGTGGGCTCCGGAGGGGCAGCGAGGAGAGGGGCTGCGCTGGGCTGGGCTGCGCTCCCTTCGTGCTGTCCCTTATTTTTATGTTTCTCCTGAGCTCTGTCCTTTTTACTTCTAATCAGACTCATCTTTTAAATCCTTCTTTGTGTGATAGTTTCGCTGTATGAAAGCTGACCTCGTCTGTTTCAGCTCCGTTGAGGTGGTTGTGCCCATCTCAGCTGTGTGCCAAGCGTGGCCCTGTGCGCTCTGAGCTGGGCTTACAGCGCGCCGCGCTCTGCGCTGCTGTGCCAGGGGGAACATTTGTTGCAGCAGGCTTTAAATTTAAACTTGGGGTGTTTCCAATGAATTAAATATGAACATAAATAATGCAGCTGGTAACGTAGCTTCTCTGCAATTAAATGCAGACGCTCTCATTTTGTCTCTGTGCTTCCAGGTTTAGATGCGCTGCGGCATCCATCCCGACTGCTTCTGGTAGAGGCTGGGGGGTGGAGAGCTGCTGACAGCACAGGGGTCTCAGTAGGAGGGGTTTTTTGGAGCTGTGGATGGGGCACTCAGTGTGTCACAACAGCAGTGGTTGGATGGAGCAGCATCCCATTGCAGCAGGTTGGGGCCTTTGGAGTTTTTAGGGCAGATCCCGTCGCAGTGGGTCTGTCCTTGGTCTGTCCTTGCTGCTGGGTGACACTGGGGCTGGGGAGTGCCCTGCCGTGCCGTGATCACTGCTTTCAGGGGGAAGCAGATAGAGAAAGTCAGGAAAAAAAGCACTGTACATGTACACACCTACATTGTGGATGGCTTTTGGGTATGGAAAGGAAGAGAAGCTTTGCCCTTCTCTTAAGCACATGCAGCCACTCCGCTTAGGAGATGAGCAGTGAAGGACTGCCACATACCTTCTGATTCAGAGCTACAGACAGCTGTTGTTGCCTTTTCCCTGTGGTCTTATTCCAGTCACAGAGCACCCAGGCATTGCTCACTGGGGGCCCTTTGGCTGCACTGCTGTGGGAAGTGGGGCTCTGCCTTCCTCTCCAGCTGCATCAGGGCCACACTAAAGCTGTACCCTATGGAGCAGAGCACTGAGCTGCTCCTCTTGTGCCTGCTGTCCCCGTGGGGAGAAGGGCTGCTGGTTCTGGGGCCAAGGCGATGGATCTGTGTTCATCAGGAGGCATTTGTGCAACGTGGGGTGAAAACATCGCTGTTCTCCCAGTGGTGCCATCAGTCAGCATTGCAGATGTTCACATGCTCTGCAGCTGGGGGGTTTTCTCATGGCTCTTTCTTTTGTCCTAGGCGTCTTCAGTTACGTAAAGGCGAGTCGCTCCCACGATAAAGACGGCAGCGGTGATAGAATGCGGAAACCAGGGCCTCAGAAAGGTGAGCAGTGCTGCACAGGGCTGAGCAGAACCACGGCTGGGGGGGCACAGGGAACGTGTTGGCAGTGCCCCACTAGGAGCAGAGCGGGGCAGGAGTGTGCATGGACATGGCCACTGCCAAGGTGCCCTGGCTGGTGCTGGGTCACAGGACACAACCCCTGCTGCAGACCCAGTGGTGCTCCAGCCGTGTGTGTGGCCAGCAGGGAGCTCATCTCAGCTCTTGGAGCATGGGGGAAGGGAGCAGCAGAGCAGGGCGCATCCTCCACAGCCCTTTGTTCACAGCTGTGCATGCATATGGGGCTCGTGGCAGGAGATTGCTATTCTCAGTTTATCTCCTTCCTTTATTCTTCTCTAGCATCTCCTTGGCTTCTCTTACAATGGTGTTAGTGGTGAAGTGTCCCCTTCCCAGCTGCTTGTCCTTTAATGAAGTATGAGCTGCAGGAGAGCAGGATGGGGCTGGCTGCAAGGCTGGCTGCAGTGTGAGGGCAGCAGGAGTAGGTTCTCCTTTTCCTTTTAAAAACAGTCATCTTTTGGACACATGAAGACGGATTTTCCAACAGCAACAGTGCTTATTCTGTAGTGAGCTGTACCCCAGTGCAGTGCTGCTCTTACCAGGGTTGTCACTGCATGTGGGAGGCAGGGATAGCTGTGACCCTCACTGACACAAGTGCTTTGTTTCTTGTCATAGCCATAGACTGGAAGGATGGTAAGAAGCACAAGTACGGCCGCCCGCCAGAATCCCCCTCCCAGTACCAAGGTAAGAGCTCACATCCTTTCCCTTTCTTTTATTCCTTAGAGCATCATTTCAGGACGTTGATGCCCCTTCGGGGGCTGAAATATATCAGTGGAGCCCAAAGCAGGAGAAGCTCCATTTGCATTCTGAGCTTCAGGCTGACTTTAAATGCAGCAGGACAAGAACATGGGCATGAGGTGCAGAGCTGCACCGCTCACAGCTGCTGCAGTTTGACCTTTGGGTGCCCAGAGTGCTTTGCTTGTGGGAAATATTTGTGAAGGTGAAGACGTCAGAGCACAAAGCTGACGCTCTGCCTGTGAGCACTGCCCATCCATATCGTACTTGCTCTGCTTAGAAGTGCTCCAGGATCAATCCCTGCTCTACTGAGTGTCAAATGCCATTTGTGGAGGCACGTGGCTGCCTCTGAAACTGACACTGCACCGTGCCGGATCGCGCTGAGCAGTGCCTGACAAACAGCTCTTAAGGGACAGCTGTTGGGAGGGCTCCATGCAATCCCATCTGTGCTGGGCCAGGGCAGCTGTTTCGAAGGCCACTGGGCATTGCTGGGCTCTGTTCTCCCCATCGCTGCAGCAGTTAGTTTGTGTGGCCATAAATGCCAGAGGGCCACAGTGAGAGGGCACTGCCTGCGAGCAGCTCCTGTGCCAAGAGCACAGAACCGCCCGCACTGCCTTCCCTCTTGTTGGCTCCTGTTTGAACTCTGTTTTCTCCCCGCAGGTCACTTTACCTGGGAGAAATACCTGAAGGAAACATGTGCTGTCCCAGCGCCCGCCCATTGCTTCAAGCAGGTGAGGGGCTGAGTGAGAACAGGAAACCTGAGGGAGGTGGTCTGCAGCCCGGGAGTGCTGTGCTGGGGGTGGTCACCCTTTTGGCATGGGGGGATGCTTCATGGTCTCAGAGGCTTAACAGAAATCAGCATGTGCTGAAGTAGAGTCGAACATACAGGGTTAGATGCTGCAAATGCTAGCACAGCACCAAAGGGCCGGATGGCGGGGAGCTGTGTGGTGCTCGCAGGGCTGGATGTGCTGGCTCTAACGGTCCCCTCTTTCCCTCGCAGTCCTACACTCCTCCTGCCAACGAGTTCAAGATCAACATGAAACTGGAAGCCCAGGACCCACGGAACACCACGTCCATGTGCATTGCCACGGTGGTGGGGCTGACGGGCGCCCGCCTCCGCCTGCGCCTCGACGGCAGCGACAACAAGAACGACTTCTGGCGGCTGGTGGACTCGGCTGAGATCCAACCCATCGGGAACTGTGAGAAGAACGGAGGGATGCTGCAGCCTCCTCTGGGTGAGCTGAGCTTCAGTGAGCACCCGCGTCGTCCCTGGGGAGAAGCAGGATCAGTTTTCTCACGTTTCTGTCCCTGGGATGGAGCCCAGCACTGTCACAGCAGTGCCATCCCCTGCAGCTCGCTGAGCTGTTGGCCAGGGGTGCCACAGCTCTGAGTCCTGCGCACACTGTGGAGGTGCTTTGGGTTGGAGATGCAGGAGCTGTTGGTGCACAGATGAGCAGCCTGCACTCTTGCAGCTCAAGCTCAGGCTCAGCACGTGCAGGCTGCACTCCTGAAGCTCTCCCTCTGTGCCTCAGAGGAGAATTGTGTTCTCAGCTGTTTGTTTGGAAAGGTCCCAGGGCCGCTTACATCTCCTGGAAGGCACAGAAGCAAAGGAACTGCAGAGCCTGGCAGTGCTGGAGGTGGAGCAGCTTTGATGGCCTTGCCTGGGCGTTGCCTGTACACAACCAAGACAAGTCCAGCTTCTCCCTCCTTGGGCTGTGTTGGTGGCAGTGCCACAGACTGGCTGCAGAGCCTTGCTGTGCCCACAGCACATCCCCTGTGCTCACCTTCCAAGCAGAGCTCTGCACCGGCGTCCATAGAGATGCTGTGCCAGGGAGCTTGAAATCCTCATGCACAGCACAGCCAGGAGAGCTGTTAGGGCTCAGGCACCCATGCCATCACTGCTGGCCCTGCCACTCACTGCAAGAGCATTTCCACTTTCATTTTGTGCCCAGGTGGCTCAGCAGCTAAAGCAGGTTGGCTGGGGTCTGTCTGATGGGGGAACGATGGCTGGAAGTCCTTCCAGTGATTTAAGTGCTGCATAGAATGAAGGGATGCTTGCAATATTCCATCTCTTGGTACTCACTGTACTCATCTGCAGCTTGATGAACAACCAGGGTAGCCGCTCTCTGCTTCCAGCCCCATCTCCACTTACACACATTTTCTGATGCTGGCTCAACAACGGGCTGATTTCCCATTTTTCTAACGAAGCACAAAGATTAACATGCTTTTAACTGTGGTCTAGTCTGGTCTGGAGGTTGGCGAGCCTGCACACAGCAGGGGGGTTGAAACTGGTTGATCTGTGAGGTCCTTTCAACCCAGGCCATTCTGTGATTCTTTCGCATTCTGCTGCCAGTCGCTGTTGCAGCGTCTCCTTAAAACCCTCTCAGGGCCCCCAGATAAAATCAAGCCCATCTATAGCGATGGAAGAAACCTTCAGTGGAAAACCTTGAGTTAGAGGGGTTTGGGCTTCTGCTTTCCCTGGAGCATCGTTTGTGAGCTGTGCTGGAAGCACAGTGGCCCCAGGTGCACATCTGGCCCACCTGCCATGCAGTGTGGGATGCAGGATGCTCACATCACACCTTCCTCTTCGTGTTTGCTCTGGGTGGAGCCTGCTGTGAGCCTTAAAGCTGCCGTGCTCTGTGTTGCCTCCTCATGTGCTGTTGTGTGCTTGCAGCCCTGGCCCAGGTGGAGCTCAGAGCTCCAGCACAGCCAGCCCTGCTCCTGCTCAGTTCCTGCTCTGCCTGCTTGGAGTTTTGCCAGCAGATGGCAAAAGAAGTAATCGAGCTGCAGAGCAAAAGTCATTTCTGACTGTGCCAAAGGAGGTCAGTGCTGTGTCCAGCTCTGTGCTGTGTCTCCCGTTGGTCCCAACAGGAGTGATGCTCTTGTGCCTGGTGAAAGCACTCAGCAGAGCACTGTGCTTCCTGTCTGCAGGGTGTGTGAGCCTGCAGCTCATGCCATGGCATTCCTGCACTCTGTGTAGCACTGCGTGCACACACTGCTGCTCCCTTTCCCTGCACACTTGGTGTAAGAGGTCCCATGGGTTTGTCCCTGAGGTTTGTGGCAGCTGCTGTGGGTCTCACAGGGGTGGCAGAGGGTCTGTGGGGTGTGCCAGGAGGTGTGTGCTAAGCAGCAATGGGCATCAGGAGGCTGTTGTGCACACACTGCAGATCTGTGTTGACTTCAGGGCGACGCTGTGTGCAGGGGCTCCTTTGTGCCAGATCCTGCTGTGCTTCTCATGATCCATTTCTGCTTTCTCTTTGATCTGAATTTCCTTTTCTTTTAATTATTTCTTTGTGTGTGTGTGTGTGTGTGTGCCTTTCAAACAACAGAGCACTTCGGGCTCTGGCAGCTCTGGACTGAGTGCCCTCAGCCTTCCTTGGGTGCTCCAGCAGTGAGGGGTGCAGTTGGAGCAGTGCTGAGCAGCAGGCACAGCCGTTGTGCACTCACTCACACACTCAGATCTCAGGGATTTGCAGTTTCCTTCTCACTGATTTCTCCCCTTTCTGTCAGAGCAGCTGTTTGTGGCTGCAGGCTGGGGGCTCAGTCTCAGTGCCCATCTCTGCTCTCTGCCCGCAGGCTTCCGGCTGAACGCCTCCTCCTGGCCCATGTTCCTCCTGAAGACTCTGAATGGAGCAGAGATGGCTCCCATCCGGATTTTTCACAAGGTACTTGGCTGTTTGGGAGCACATCCCCCTCCTGCATGGGGGACAAGCGCACTACCAGCATTGCCATATGCTGCTCCCCCTGGCAGCTCCGTGCTGCTGCTGCTGGCTCAGGGTAGGGCTCAGTGCTTACACAGCACCGTGTGGGCTGTGCCCAGCAGCCCGGGGATGCGAGCTGGGCAGCTCACAGGGCTCACAGCCACCCCATCTGCTCCATCTGCTCGTGGAGGTGAGTGGCGATGGAGGGGCAGCCCTGCTCCAGCTGGGCACCGCCGCTCTCTGAGCTCATTTTCCTTTTCTCATAGGAACCACCATCTCCATCCCAAAACTTCTTCAAGACAGGTATGAAGCTGGAGGCGGTGGACAGGAAGAACCCTCACTTCATCTGCCCGGCCACCATTGGGGAGGTGAGAGGTTCTGAGGTCCTCATAACATTTGATGGCTGGAGAGGTGCCTTCGATTACTGGTGCCGATATGATTCCCGGGACATCTTTCCCGTAGGCTGGTGCTCGCTGACTGGAGATAATCTGCAGCCCCCTGGAACAAAAGGTAAGGCCCCCTCACTGCCCAGCACTCTTGCACTTGAGGATACGATAAGGGAACCGTGAGCATTACTGATTTTATGCCGTGGGGCTGCTCCTGTTTGCACTCCTGGTGGTTTCCTGGCGTGCTTCGTGCCGTGGTCTCCTTTGTGAACATGAAAAAGCACAGGCATGAGCAGGAGCGAAGCGTGAAAGCTGTGTGATGCTCCTGAAAAGGCCTTCGTGTGTGCTCTGCTGTTGCTGAACTCGCCTTTCCTCAGGGAGGCTGAGCAGCTCCAGCTTTCATTGCTCTTAACCGGGGTGGAGAAGCAAGCTGCTCCGGGGTCGTGGGCAGCAGTGGAGCGAGAATCCAGAGAGCCCCTCTCTATTATGAACAGAGCAGAAAGTTGATTCTGAGGGTCAACCTAAAGAAGGAGGGTTGTGGCTCACCTCGTTAAAAGTCACATCTGGAGAGGGCAGCAATGAGTGAGATGTATGGCTCAGGGCACAGCAGAATGGAGGGGGAAACAGTGGCTGTGATAAGAAGGAAGAGATGAGGGTGGGTTAACGGCTGTCAGTTCTGGGCAGCGTCCTGGCAGGGGTGTGTGTGGAGGAAACCTCCCTTTACCAGAGCTCAGCCTTGCAGAGAAGAAATGTCTGCTGCTGGAATGGCATCCCTAGCTCTGCTTGTGCACAACGGAGCACGTTGCTGCTGAGGGGCAGGGAGGTGCTGCAGCCTTCCCTGCAGTGTGCCCCCCCTGCTGCAGCACTCTGATGGTGGGCAGTAGTGTAGCACAGCATGCTGGCCTGGACACAGCGCTCAGGGCAGCCTCCATCTCTCAGCACCGTCGCTGCCCTGGGATGTGTTTGTTAAGTGCTCGGTGTCTGCAGGTGGAGCTGATGCTCAGGCACCAGGCTTTCCACTTAACGTGATGCAGCACTTCTTCTGGTTGCTGCTGCTTGGTTTCTCTCCCTCCTGCAGAGAAGCTCGTTGGGAACGCAGGCGAGCGCTGCTCTCAGTGCTGGGAGCAGTGGCCCCACAGAGCTGCAGGTCCGTGGCTCTGTGTGTGCAGCAGAACCCCTGTTTGGGAGCTGGTGTCACGTCAGCATCATAGCTGCACTTTTCTTCTGTGGTCTACCTTGAAGTTTTCTCGTAACCTGCAGAGTTGCAGTGCTGACTGGGCTGGAAGTGCTGCTCCCTCCCTAACACCATGGTGTAGAAGACAGAGTCCTGGCTGCTCGATTCTCTCCTGCAGTTCAGACTGATGCTGCTGAAGAAGCAAGTCATGCAGCCCAGGTGTGCAGTGCTGGCTGCAGTGCTTTCAGGTGCTTTGGAGGTCGTCCTGCATTTGCTCCATCTGCAGAGCATCCAAAGCTGTGTTCTGTTTGCACCCCGTGTCTTGGAAGGGGGAGAAAAGTGCTTTGGAGCCCAGGCAGCCTCCTGAGCACAGCTGTGGCACTCAGGGAAGCGCTGCTGCAGCACGTGTCCTCCTTGGTGCTTGGTGCTGAGCATCCAGCCCTGCTCACTGCACAGAGCAGCGTGTCACAGTTCTCCTCCTGATCCTGGTATTTTTATAACTTCTGAAGGGCTTTAAAAAGAACAAAAGATGGAACAAAGCACACCCACCCACCGCTCTGCTGGCTTCTTGTGCTCTGAGATATCAGAGATGCCTGGCTAATGTTTCACCAGGAAGCCAAAGCTCAAAATGCACTTCAGACAAGAGCAGAATGAGCAGAAACTGCAGGAATGCCCCAGAGTGGCCTGAGCACCACGGGAGTGTTTTGGTTTGACCTGGGGGATCAGAGTGAGTGGGGATCACACTGCAGTGTGCTTGGGGTGGGGGGCCATGGGGTGCAGTGTGGGGGAGACCTGCTGTGAAGGTGACTGCAGACAGGCACAGTGTTTTCTTATCCCTTGCATTGGAACTGTGTGCCCCGGTGGGCTCAGTGCTCGTGGGTTGGGTTGGAGCTGGGCTGCTGGCTGCTGCTGGCAGCTGCAGGGCCGGGCCCAGGTGCTGTGAGCTCCTGAGCAGCGCAAGCTGGGGCTGCCAGCACTGAGAGCTCCTTGCAGGGCTGCAAGCACAGCCGGCTGCAGGCTGCTGCAAACCAGTGCTGCTCACACACTGAGAAGGATGCACTCTGCAGAGCAAATAACAGCAAAACACATGTTGAGTTTGCTGGGAGCAGGAGGGGAGCTGGCAGGGGAAGGGGATGCAGAGATGGGTGCTGCTGGCAGCAGGAGGTGTTCAAGTGGGCTGCAGGAGTTTTTGGGGAGGGGGAGGCTGACGGGCAGCTGTGGGGGACGCCCACTTGGCACTGCCTTGTCCCGTACCCAAACACTTCGCCTTTGTGTTGTGACAAAAAGGACACGTGGCTCAGCTCACCCTTGATTTCCTATGGAAGGTGGTTGGCTCGGTGGGCAGGGTTGGGCGGGTGGTCGACCTCCTGGTGCCCTGCTACCCCTGGTGCTGCCCAGGGCTGCAGTCATTCCTTTCATCCCTCATTCTGTGAGCAGGGCTGTTTGTCCCCATCTCTTTGACACCGTGCTCACCACGTGTGTGTGTGGAGGTGGTGCTGAGTGCTGTCCCCAGGGCTCTGTCTGGGAGCAGTGCTCTGCCAGCCCAGGGGGCTGCGGGGTCCCTTCCAACCTAACCGAGCTGTGATTCTGTGATGTCACGGTGCTGCCTGGTGGGTGCAGAGCACTTAAGTTCCCTCCTGTACCCGGAAGAAATGGAGAGCCGGGTTTTGGAGTTAGGCAGATCTGCGTGCTCAGCAGAATGCCTGCACTGGTGACAAGCGTTTGGACGTCCCCACTCGGCACAGTGCTCCGTGCCTGGTGCCCAGCTGGTCTCTCATCTCACCTGCCTTGTTGCTGTGCCGTCCCCGGAGTGCTGGGGTGAATCCTGCTGTTGTGCTGTGCGGCCATCCCGTGTGTTGAGCCACTCGTGGCACTTCACCCTGTGCCGTTGGTTCTGCCATTCAGTGACACGTGAGAAGTTCCTTCAGCTGTGTGCTCAGCCTGAGCAGTGCAGTGGGACCCCTCAAACATCAGCTCTGAGCAAAGGGCTTCTACCTGTGCTGTGCCCAAAGGAGCAGCCACAGAGCTGTGCTCTGCTGGGCTTTGCAGCCCGCTAACAGGAGCTTTGCAGCCTGTTGTGTGGATGCTTCTGCTGTGACATCCAGCATGCTCACCTCGCTGTTCTCCACAGCTGTGTCTCTCCCCATCTCCTGTGGGCTGCACTGATGCCCTTTGAGCTCCTCCTGCTGTGTGGCACTGCAGGACCCTGCTGTGTGTCAGTGGGGAGGAGCGCTTTGCTCCACTCACTGCTTTGCCTGGCAGCAGCGGGGCCTCGTGGTGCCCTGCTACCCCTGGAGCTGCCCGGGGCTGCAGTCATTCCTTCCATCCCTCATTCTGTGAGCAGGGCTGTTTGTCCCGTCTCTTTGACACTGCTCACCACCTGGCAGCCTTCTCCTCGTCCCGTGGCTCTCAACCTGTGCGAAAGCTTTGCAGCTGCTCTGCAGAGCCCTGAATTGAAGAGTGGCTCTGTCAGGCACACTGGAGCCAGCTCATGCTGTCCTGCTTCTTTTACTCATCCCTTTGGTGTTTAAAGTCTGTGTCAGGGTTCCCCTCACTCTGGCAGCAGCCCGTCACCTCCTCCTGTGCACAGTCGTGTTGAGCACACAGCCAGGCTCCCAGCTCTGTGCGGTGCCAGAGGTGTCCATGTGTGTCTTGCAGTGCAGCAGGGGTTGCTGCTGTCTCCTTGCAGCAGCAGTCGGAGCAGAAGGGCTGTCCTGCACCACCAGCCGCAGAGGGGCTGAGGGAAGGACTGAGCAGTGCTGGGGGCAGCGGCCGCTCCAGGATTTTCCCACATGACGCTGTTGGAAGATGGAGGCTGCTCTTGTTTTCATCCTCGCCTGATTTAATTACATTTGCTTTCTCTCTTTTTATTTCAGTTGTGATTCCAAAGAGCCCTTTACCTGCCTCCGAAGTAAACTCGGAGAAGCCTAGCATGCACAGTAGCACAAAGACTGTTTTGGGGCATCAACAAGGGCAAGGGCGTCGCAAAGCAGGGAAGAAGCGTGGTCGAACGACCAAAGCGCTCATCCACCAGCCCATGCCTGCGCCCTCCAAATCAGTGGAGCCTTTGAAATTCCCCAGAAAGAGAGGCCCCAAGCCTGGCAGTAAGGTAAAAGCTGGTGCTGACGCAGGCGGGTGCAAGGCAGTGCTGCATGCGTGTGTCTGTGCACGTCTGTCGGCAGCGGTAGGAGAGCAGAGGGGAGCGCGGGGCTGGGAGCTGCCGTGCCCTCTGGGGCCTCCCCATGGAGAAGCCGTGGCTCCTGAGCCCTGTTGGCCGTGGGGTAGCACGGCTCGGGCTGCAGTGCTGGCAGGGCGGCTCTGTGCCCGTGGTGCAGGGCTGGCAGGTCTGGGGCTCGTGTCCCATGTGTGGGGCACACAGGTGTTGAGCGCGTAGGTTCTCGAGGCTCCCCGTCGTCGCCGCGCCGTGTCCTGTGGTGCCTTGATGTTGGATGCACTGCAGCATGTAGCGATCGTGGGTGGTGGAGGAGAGCGGGGGTAAAAGGAGAACTATCCTCCTCTTTTTCTGCAGAGGAAACCTAGGACATTGCTGAGCCCAGCACCCACCTCTCCAACCACCAGTACCCCTGAACCCGACACAAGCACTGTGCCCCAGGACGCTGCTACAGTCCCCAGCTCTGCCATGCAGGCTCCCACAGGTAAGGCTCTCGGGCCGCATCCCTGGAAAGTTTGCACACATGGGACTGCAGCCATCGGGACGCCGCAGGGCACTGCTACTTCTTGGTGAGCGCGTGCGCCGGCAGCAGCAGCAGAGGAGGCCCAGCTCTGCGTAGGGAGGACGGGAGAGAGACGTGAGCTCAGCTCAGCCTTTCCTCTGCCCCCACCCGTATCGGAGATGTCGGTGGCTGTGGGTCCATCCGATGGGCACAGGGCTCCCAGTCCCTGAGCTGCCCCTGCTTGGCAGTGACACAGAGCCCTGCAGGGCCTGCACAGCCTCAGGGCAGCGGGCTGCAGAACCGGACCTGCCGAGAGCGAGGCTGTGCTCGGGGCAGGGAGTTGGGGCACACAGGGACAGGAGGGAGCGGAGCAGTGGGAGCTCTGTGTTGCTGGGTGGTAAAGCTGGGTAGGAACGCAGCGCCGGTCCTCATGTGTTTGAGCAGTGGATGTGAGTAGGGCCCTTTGTTTCCCCAGAGCAAAAGCAGCTCATTCTCAGGCACCTGAAGCATCCCGCTCCCCTGGAGCTCGGGCTGCATCCCTTTGCTTGCTGTGCATAGTGCAGCTGTGCTGCCTGGCTGAAGCAGGCCTCTGGGGGCTGAAAGCTGGGGAGCAGCCCCAGGAGAAGTGGCAGCAGCAGCAGAAACACCTGCAGGAACACTCCAGAGTGGTTCCCCAAAGCGAGACTGCTGCCAGCTCATGGGCAGTGGCTGTGCTGGATTCACTCACGTTTTGGGAGCACTTTGACAGTCTTTGAAACCCAGGCATCCCTCGGGTTGGACGTTAGGCATCTTTCCTGTGCCTTCTTGAGTGGGTTAATGGCAAACACGTTTCTCATCTTGGCAGTTTGCATTTACTTGAACAAGAATGGCAGTGCTGGGCCCCACTTAGACAAGAAGAAAATTCAGCGGCTGCCGGACCACTTTGGACCAGCTCGAGCCTCTGTTGTCCTGCAGCAAGCAGTGCAGGCCTGCATCGATTGCGCTTACCATCAGAAAACAGTCTTCTCTTTCTTAAAACAAGGCCACGGGGGAGAGGTCATCTCAGGTGAGAACTGGCCTGCAGCACTTTGCCTTCGGAGATGTTGTGGCAAGAATCTGCTCACTGGAAGATGAAGCTTGGCACTGTCCTGGGCCAGGAGCAGACAGAAGATTTCTGTCTTCTCTTCCTTGCTGAGCAGCTGGTGCAGGGCAGGGGCATGTCCTTGGGGAGCAGGCATCACCTCCATCCCAGCACTGCTGGGCCCCAGGAGAGGATGGCACAGCATGGGTGGGCGCTCCGCAGCTCCCGGTGGAAGGAAGAGCCGTGCCACGAAGTCTCTATTCCCCAAGCCCCGGTTTTTAATGCCCCCAAACCCCTGCTGAGCTGGCCATGGGAGCGCAGCCATTCCTCCCCCCATCCCACAGCCCCACTCCCACAGCCCGTCTGGGCCGTGCTGGTGGCTCTGGTGCAGAGCGGCGATGCGGAGATGCAGCAGCTGGTGGTGCGGCCGCCTGCCCTTGCCAGGGCCTTACGTGTTGGGCTCTGTTTGTTTCTGTCTCCAGCTGTGTTTGATCGGGAACAGCACACTCTGAACCTGCCCGCAGTAAACAGTATCACCTACGTCCTCCGCTTCCTGGAGAAGCTGTGCCACAACCTCCGCAGTGACAACCTCTTTGGGAACCAGCCTTTCTCCCAGCACAGCCACGCGCCGCGCTCACACGAGTACGACCACGACAGGTATCTACCAGGTAGGAGCTGGGGCGGGGGTGGCACCGGGGGGACCCCAGGTCCCGTACCCAGCTTTCCCCATCGCTCGGGAGGCGGCAGTGCGTTCTGCAGCGACGCCGTGCTGCTGCCTGCAGCTCAGGGTGCCGTGCCAGACTGGGGGTACGTGGGTGAGCAGCAAGCACAGCTCAGCACTGAGCTCTGCAGGGAGCAGGTGCTCCAGTATCCTCTGAGGCGCCCAAATGCAGTGGTTTCTGGTGAGGGCGAGGGTCGTTCCGTCGTTTGTAAAGGTTGTGTGAAGATGAGGACGTGCTGAACGCGAGGGCTGCTGCTGTGTCACCTCCCACCCTTTGTGCCGCCGTGGGGCTGAGCAGGAGCGTGTCTGTGGGTCAGGGAGCAGGGGAGCTGCCAGCAAACAGAGCTGATGGCTGCTGGTAGGAGCAGGGCTGGTGTGCAGTGCTATGCATGGGTCAGTGTGAAAGCAAGGGCAGGAGGAATGCCAGGACCACTGTGAGTGGGCACCACTGTTACGTGGAAGCTCTGCTGCACAGCAGCCAGGGCTGGTTCCTAGCCTGCGTCTGCTCTTGGCAGCTTGGTAGCCACATCTTCTCGTCTCAAGCAATGCTCAAGGCCACTGTGTTCCTGCACAGCCACTGCCATTGCTGTGTCTGCAGCCCCAGCAGTGTGCCCTGCACCTGCAGTGTCTGCATTGGCTCTGGTGCTCAGCTCCTGATTTCTCTCTGAGCAGGCACTGTCCTGCCTGGCCCAGCCTGGGAAGGCAGCAGCAGGTCTCTGCAAGTGTGTGCCACACTTAACCAGCAAGACACCGAGCGGTGCTGCTCTGCAGTGGTGTGCAGGTTTGTTGGTGGGTGCTGCTCGGCTCTGCTCGGTCAGTGGAGCAGCACAGTGCTCCCACTCTGCCCCATGTGTGCCCGCTGCCTGCACAGCTGTTGGGGCGCAGCTCACAGCACACGGCACTGCACCCTGCAGCCAGCACTGCAGCATCCTGTCGGCTGGGGGCTGGGCTGAGCCCCCTCAGAGCCGCCTGCTGCTCCGTGCCTGCCCAGCGAGCGTCTGTGTCCATCGTTCCCTGGGTCCTCCTGCCTGATCTCCCCTGCTGCTGGAGGGTCTTCGTAGCGTTAAGGCGTCCGTTGCACTGAGGGTGTTTTCCTTCTGTTGTGTCCTGCTCTGCCCATCCCCTCATCACCCCCATCCCTCCTTTGTTGACTGTAACACATCTCCTGCTGGGCGAGCGCCCGTCCTCTCTGCCACCGTCCTTTATGCCGCTGTGTGGTGCCAGCCCCGTGCAGCTGGCCACCATGGGGTGACTGACTGGAACCTGCAGAGCACTGCTGGATGGCCTGAGGCTGTGAGAGGGAGAGATGGGACGGGGCTGAGCTGAGCAAAGGTGGCACTTGGGGTGAAGATGGCAAAAAGCACTGCGGCCCTTGGTGAGCTTTGGCCCTGCGCTTTCCGTATCTAGAACTCACGGAGCGAAATGCAGAGTGCTGTGTGGGCTGGCTGCAACCTGGGGGGTGGTGGGGCACATGGATGCCTGTGGCACGGCCCGCCTTGCTTCCCAGCAGCTCTGAACAGAGCTTGTTCTCTTTCCCTAGACAGAAGCAGTTCGTTAGACGGCACTCTGCAGGGACCAGGCCGGGGCACAAAGCGCTATTGCCAAGATTCCCCTCCGTACAGTGCTCCTCTCTCCCCCAAGTTACCAAAGAATGACCGTCACCCACTGGAAGGTGAGCACAGCATCTCTTCCCAGCGCTGCAGGCACAGAGCTGGGAACAGGAGGGGTGCAGGAGGGGTGCTGCTGGCATGGGAGCTGCATGGAGAGGGACAGAGCGGTGCTCAGGGCACGGAACCCCCACAGCAGGGTAAATGGAACATAGTGGGGGTCCTTCCCAGCTTGAGAGCTGGCAGCCAGGAGCACTACAGCGGGGCAGTTAACCCACATCTGGGTGCCGTTGCTGTGTCACTGCTCCTAATGCAGCCCCATTGCTTCAGTCTGTCTGCCTCTGAGGTTTGCTGCAGTGTTGTGCACGGGGCTGGTTGTGCACAGGTTGGTTGTGCAGTGCAGCCTCGTGGCTGGAAGCTGCCCTTTGCCTCATGTTCCTCGCAGCCACGCTGAGCTGTGTGCTGTCCCTCCTTGTTGCACCTCCCAAAGCAGCCGCAGTTGTTGGTTTTGGGAGAAGTGGGAGTTTGTCTCGTGCTGGGGATCCATACAGCCTCACACTGCTTCTTGAGCACACCATTGTAATGTGTGGGAGCGTGGCCACATCAACACAGTGACTCTGTGTTCATTGTTGGACTGGAGGCGTTCTGAGGGTGAGCTTTGCACCCTTCATGCTGCACCACTGCAGCCCTGCGTGGCCATTGTCCCTGCATGGGGGTGCAGGGCCTGGCTGCAGTGTGGCAGCCTCACAGAGCCCAGATGGATGCTTGGGTGACAGGAACGACTTCACCTCTGCTGATGGCAATGTTTGTGGCGTGGCACAGCGCTGTGCAGCTGATGGGGTGCAGCCACGAGCAGCAGCAGCGCAGGCAGAGGGGCTCCTGGTGCACAGAATGCCCCGTGTGGTTGGCTTATGGACACTGCTCACTGTGACATGGGGCACCATGCACTGCTGGGACTGGCCAGGGATTCTTTGACACAGAAATTGTATCTCACAGGGCAGCTCATGCAGCACTGGGTCTGCCTGGGGGTTGGGTCATGTGTGCTGTAGTAAATGCACAACTGCGCTCCTCCTTTGTGCACAGAGCTGAGCAGCACTGCCCGGTACCCTGCAGGTCCGTGCTGCCCTGCAGTCCCACAGCCTGCACTGCTGCCCTCAGTGCAGGGCTGCAGTGCTCAGGTTCCTCTCTGGGAGCAGTGGCAGAGCACTGGGCTGCAGGCAGGTCAGCAGAGTGGCCGCTGCGTGAGTCCAGCTGTGGGGCAGCTCTGGCTATGGGGCACTGGGCCCAGAGCTGGCCGTGCTGCTTGCTACCCTCAAGGAGGGACAGGATGGCCACATGCACTGACTGCAGCCTGTTGCATTCCAGGTGAAACCTTCGTGCTGGGAGACGGCCCTCCTGGGCCCCTGGAGCCTCGCATGGACCCCATGGACTCGGCCCTGAACGCCGTCAATGCCTCCGGTCACAGCCGAAGCTCCAGGGAGTTCCGCCTGCAGGGATACCGGCACCTGCACCAGCCCTGCAGCCTCAGCCAGGGCAGCACCTCCACGCTAGGCAGGCTCGGCTCCACGGGTAGGAGCACACGGGGGCACTGGTGGGCACAGGCTGGGGGAGGGAGCGCTAGGCAGTGCCAGAGCTGGGATCTGTCGGGGGGCTGCGATGCATGCTCTGTCCATCCAGGCCCTCGCTTCAGGCAGGTGGGGAACGGGAATGCACGACTGCAGGTGCTGCTGCATGCATGTGGGCAACAGCGCTCTGTGCTTGGGGGGGAGTGGTGCTGCATGGGCGTGCATAACTCCGCCCCGTGCTGTGCTGTGCCCCAGGCGCCGAGCGGTACCGCGAAGGAACACGGCTCAGCAGCCGCGACCCCTCGTGCTGGACGGTGGAGGAGGTGATGCAGTTCATCCGGGAGGCGGACCCGCAGCTGGGACCCCACGCTGATCTCTTCCGGAAGCACGTGAGTGTGTCTGTCTGTAGCAGGGCAGGAAGGGCAGAGCAGGGGTGGCAGGGTAGGGCACAGCCCAGCCTGAGCTCCGGTGCTCTTTGTGTTCACGGAGAGCTCAGCTCATGGCAGCACTGAACCACACAGAGCTCTTCCTCTTGGAATCCTAAAATTCACTTCGCTGCAAACTTCTTCTGGCAAGAAGCACATTGCAAGTACGGCTTACAGAGTGCCCTGCTCTGAAGCTCCTATAGAAGAGCTGGCCTCGTGCCACTGTCAGTGGGGGCTGGGACGGCGCTGGGTTGCCCGGCTCTGATGGCACTGCATTTCCTCATCCCGACAGGAGATCGACGGGAAGGCGCTGCTGCTGCTGCGCAGCGACATGATGATGAAGTACATGGGGCTGAAGCTGGGCCCGGCGCTGAAGCTCACTTACCACATCGACAAGCTGAAGCAAGGCAAGTTCTGAGGACGCCCAGCAGGACGGCCCCCGCGCTCACCCGCAGTCCGTCCACACGCACCCATCCACGCCACCGCCCGGCTGCAGGGACGCAGCACGCAGAGCCCTGAGCCCTCAGCCCCTCCTGCCCCCCTGGATGCTTGGCCACGTGGAATAGGGTGGGTGTCCGTCCCCAGCCCCCAGCACTGCCTGTCTTCCACGCCAGCACGGAGCGGCTCAGCACCGGCCCCCCCTGGGGGTCTTCCATATTTATTTGGGACTGGGGAGGCCCAGGAGATGGAGCGAGCTTGGGGGCGGAGGAGCAGAGCTGGGCACCGTGGGACTCATCAGCCCTTCTCCCTCCCTCACATTTTTTATGAGGAGTTGCCCGTTGAAAACTGACTTTTTTTGTACCTGATGTCAAAACTCACAGCTCCTGGGGATTTATAGCTGGAGGTGCAGAGCCCATCTCCCCGCAGCCGTCCTGCTCCCTGCAGCTCCTTCCCAGCTGGGCAGGGGGCTCTGTCTGATGTATTTATTTGCGATGGCACTTGGGCTCTGAGCAGCAGCAGGCAGGACCACCGAGCAGAGCCCCCGCACTGCCCTGGGAGCAGCCAGGGAGCTCCCCTGAGCTGCTTCATCCCTGGGTTACCCCCAGTGCTGCCCCCCAGTGCAGCAGGGGGACGCCAGGGGCTGGGGGGGGAGGGGACAGGTTTACCCCTAAGGGGAAAGTTGCAAAAAGAAAAGAAAAAACAAAAGGCAAAACCTGCAAACCCAAAGTGACAGAAAGGCTTTCGTCATACAGCACTGCCAGCACTGCGCTCCCTGCTCACAGGGGGGGTCCCACAGAGGGGGGTCCTGCACCCCCACCCGTACCTGCGCCGCTCCCGCTGCAGCCAGGCCCCCACATGGGCTCAGCCCATGTTTTCCTCTGCACTTATTTTACGTCAATTTGTTTATAAATAAAAGAATAACGCAGAGCTGCTGTGTGTGCAGGCAGGAGGGGAGCAGGGGGAGAGGAGACACTGCTGTCGGGAACTTCCTTTCTCTTCCGTGGCCACAGAGCAGATGGTGCAGTGCTCACACTGCAGCAAGAGGCAGGAAAAGAAAGGAGAGCACAGCTGCTGCCCCAGGAGTGCAGAGCAGAGCTGGGGGCACCCTTTGGTCATGGTGCACTCTCCTGGCAGCTGTGCTCTGTGTGCTCTGTGCTAACAGCATTCCCCCAGAAAGAAGACAAGATTCCCCCTGTACCCAGATCTCCCTCTTGTACCTTAAGGACGGAGCTCTCTGTGCTACGCTGAGCTCTTTTCCCATTGTGATTCAACATCAACGCCAAAGTACAAAAGAAGAGCTGAGGAAACGGAGGGGATGCCGTAACAAAAGTGTATAAACCATAAGTTAGGGAAGGCAGAAGCGGAGAGCGGCCACATATTGCTGTGAGAGGGCCCAGAAAACCAAACGGGGGCTCTTCTTCAGCCACGACACAGCTGGAGGAAAAGTAAAGAGGAAAAGAAAGAATCAGTGATGCTGAAGGGCAGCAGACACACAGACACACTCAGAGCAGAGCAGCTGAGCTTTCCTTTCCATAAGGGAAGGGTTGGGAGCACTGGGAGTTACCAAGCATCAGTCGTGGTTGAAGGATGGAAACTTGAGCTCTGTTATCTCCGAGTCAGGGGAGCTGCTGCCGCTCCTGTCGCTGTAGGTGTCCCTGCAGAGGACAGAGGCAGTGCTGTGGGACGAGTGCTGAGGGCTCTGCAGTGGGAGCAGTGCCTCCTTCTGCCCAAGGATGAGTAGTGAGGCATGCAGAGCTTCCCAGAGCCGTCCCTGTGGGGTCGGCCACGGGTTGATTTCGACTGGCAAACCCTAACATTGTTTTTGTACCAGATCTTTTAAGACCCCACTGATCAACACCAAGCTAATAGCAAGTAGACAGGTTAGCCACCTGCACTGTGCATTCCCTTTCAGCCTCCTGGTGGCAGCCAGCTGCCTTTAATCCATCAAACAGCTTTCAGAACCAATCGGTGGCTCTGATGGGAAGCACCCTGGGAACAGCACAGCCAGCAGTTGGACCTCACATCTCTGCCTACTGCCTCATCCCATCCCACACATTTTTACAGGGCTATAAAAACCTGTTCCTGAGCACTGCTGGGATGCTTCAGGTCCCTGTAAAGTCCCCGTGAAGGGAATTTCTCTGGAGCAAAGCCTCCTCCCAGCTGCTGCATACCCAGCACCAGACCTGCAGGGTGAACTCCTCCACATGATGCACACACACCACGCATGCTGCAGTCTCAAACCATGCAGGGATTCTTCGGGACGCTCCCCCAGCACTCTGCATTGTCCCTGCTGGATTCCTTCCAGTTCTCTCTGCCAGCCCTGTACCCACATCTCTCTGAAGCACCCTTTGGTGCACAGACTGTTGCACCCCCTGCTGCCACCTGCACTGGTGTGCAGAGAGGAGCCTTGCTGCTAAGAGCTGTGCCAGCACAGCAGTGAGGAACGGAGGCTGTGCTGAAGTGACCACACGTGTTTTGTTATCTGCTCACCAGCACAGAGACTCTCCAGATGTGCAACGCTGCCTTCAGCTGCTGCAGGAAGGATGGAACTTGGTCTCTCTGGATAGAAAGAGCTGCCTCATCCCCATGGCCAAAGCAGGAAATTAAAACATCCCTGCAGCTGCAGGGCACTGAAATGGGGCGTCATGACAGCAACTGTGCTCAGAGATCAACCAGAGCACAAGGGATGGCTGCTCCCCAGGCAGCAGCACAGAACTGCTGTGATACAGCTGTGCTGCAGCTCAGTCTGGACAGAGCAGCGCTCTGCATTACAAACTCTGCATTACACCTTGCCCTGCTTTGGTGCTTTAGTACTCCCTGCCTTTGGCACTGTTAATGGCCTTTGGTTGTGCTGTTCAGTGAGCATGAGCACTCCTACTGTAAAAGCAATGCTGTGCATTGCTCTGTGCAAGGAGAAAAGATCTAAAAGGGGAGAATCATCCACAAAAGCAGGCCTGGCTCAGTTTCCTTACAGCTCCCAGCAGGACAGCAGGCTGAAGCTGGCACGTCACAGCGGGGCACTCACACAACACAGCGTGAGCAGCAGTGCTGCACGCCCCATTACCCTGCAGCCCCACAAAGCCCCCTCTGTGACTCTCCATCCAGTTCATCAGCTGCGCTGCCCCACAAAGGCCTGCTGTTGTCCTCCAACCCACCTGGGTGAGAGCCTGCAGCCCTTCTGCAGGTAATGTGCGAGCCTTCCTGCAGACGCCAGCAGCAGCCCGAAGTACGGCGGGGACGGCTTGATGGGTCTGGAGAGGAATTCAGGGTGGTACTGAACACCCACGAAGAATGGATGCTCTACAAGGAAAAAAAACCAGGACACATCACTGACAAGTCTGCAGGCCTGCAGCTCAGTGTGCTTGTTGATGACAGGGTCTTCCTACCCCGATTCTTGCTCCTACAAGGGCAGGCCCATGGCACTCACGTTAGTGCAATTCACCATGCAAGAAATGGTCGTGAGGGAGCGTGGCCCCATGTGTGTCCCTCAGCAGGCCCCCTGCAGATGCTAACACACACAGGTCACCCTCTGACACACTCACCTTCTAGCTCAACTATTTCCATCCGCTCTCCTTCCTCATCCTGGCCGACAAACTTCAAGCCTTGCTCTTCAAAAAATTTCTTCAGTTCTGGATTGACCTGGAGGACAAGCAGCGAGAGAACCCATCTTCTTTTGTGCCTGGGTTGTACAGGGGAGCCCAGCACCCACAGCAGCAACCGTACCTCAAACCTGTGCCTGTGCCTCTCTTCCAAGAAATCGTGATCGCCATACAGCTTCCCTGCACCAAAAGACAGGTGAACATCTGTGAGCAAACATCAACCAGTGCATACAGTGCCACGTTTTGACACGTCCCTATGAGCACCAGGAGGCACTCAGAACACACAGGTAGGAAATGCCTTACTCATGACTGAGTTCTTCGTTTGGAAGAGCGTTCTCCTCTTGCCAAGCCTCATGGTTCCACCCATCTGCCCAGGGTTGTGTTCTGGCATGTCGATCACCTGGGAAATTCAGAGCAGGATGAGGCTGAGGGACACACAGCCTCACACAAACACTGAAACATTAACAGGGGACAAGCAACATCCATGCAGAAAACACAGGCAGCAGCCCAGGGAACACTGTTCTGACTGGGCAGGGCAGCAGAGAGTGATGTTCCAGAAAGGCTGTTGGAACACAGTGTGGGTGTGGTGGGACTGCATGCAGCCTGCAGGCTGAGAACACAGCTCAGACCACCCACAGACTTTCCAGGCAATTCCTGTCTGCTTCTGTTAATTACTGAGGTCATCAGTGAGCCATACTGATGGCACTGGACCCAGATATCACCACACGTGGTCCCATGAAATCAGACAGCTTTCTAAATGCCCTTGAAGAGGGGCAGCTTTGTCTTTCCCCTCTGAAAAAACACCTTGGTTACTTGAAGAAGAGCAATGAGATAAATCACGTTTTAAAGAAATCCCTGTTGCAGCCCACTGAGCACTGCAGAGCCCTCAAAAGCAGCAGCTGCCATACAGCCAAGCAGGAAACAACACTTTCCATGCAGATTAATAAGTGATGAAAACCAACTCAAGCACAGTGAAGATACAGCCAGCAAGTCATGGCATACTCACCACTGGATGAGTGGTGTTGGGATCAAATTCTGTTGAGTTTGCATCTGTAACGTTACATCCAGGGGTTAGAAACACCATTAAGTCCCTCTCACAGAAGTTCACAAACACAACTTAGGATGTTTCTGCACAAGGTGCAGAATGGGGGAGGGAGAAGGGCTCAGAAACACGTTCCTCCCTCTCACCTTCACTACCTGTGAAGGTTCACAATCAGCCTGAGGCACTGAGTTCAGTTTGACACTCTGGAGGAAGGTCTGACAGGTGGACCTGCTCTATTTGAGCCCAGAAAGCAATTCAAGGCAGCAAAGCTGGCACTGCTGCCTGCCCAGCTGCACTGCTGCTCTTTGTGGCCGTGGGCTGTGAGGGCCCTGCACACACAGCTCTGCTCAGGTCACTCTGAACACTGAGTGAATGCGCCCACTGCATCCTGCCCGAATGAGATTATTCTTTTTCCTTTGAGCTGACAAAAGGGGAGGGGAATTTTCTACAAGCCTAGGAAAAATAAAATGTGATCTATGTGCCAGTGAAAAATGGAAAGCATTACAGGTGTTACCCAGACAGCCAAAAGGAGATGTCCGTCGCCTGGGGATGGTTCTGTGCATTTACCTGACCAACCAAGAACGCTGCGTGCAAACTCCACAACTGCTAACTGCATTCCCAAGCAGACTCCTGCAGAAGAAGAGGCAGAACACAGATGAGGTATTTTTGAGCCCACGTGGTGATGCTACAGACACCATCAGTGAAAACACAGAGAGACCACGGCCTCGTCTGCAACTCAGACCCCAGCACAGGGATCTGCCATCACAACCCACAGACTCACAGCATGGCCTGGGTCGCAAAGGCCCACAGTGCTCATCCAGTTCCACCCCCCTGCTGTGTGCAGGTCGCCAACCAGCAGCCCAGGCTGCCCAGAGCCACATCCAGCCTGGCCTTGAATGCCTGCAGGGATGGGGATCCACAGCCTCCTTGGGCAACCTGTGCCAGTGCCTCACCTCCCCAGCCAGCCCTGACCACCTAACAGCCTGCTACAGGTGGTGGCACAGCTCAGCACAGAGCACTGCTGCCCTCAGCACTTATCTCTGACATTCTGAAGTCTGGATAGCAATGGGAGTCAGCAAAGCTCATGCTGAAGTCCATTACACTGTTACTCAGTCTCCTTCTTTGCTTTACTTCTTCGTATGGATGAAGAACATTTCTCACCTAAGAAGGGTTTCTTCTGTTTTCTCGCCCAGGAAATAGCTTGGATTTTGCCTTCTGTGCCCCGAACACCAAATCCACCAGGAACCAGCACACCACTGCACCGGGATGAAAGACAC